GCATCATCATCATCATCAGCATCATCATCAGCAGCATCATCACCAGCATCATCATCATCATCACCATCATCATCATCATCACCAGCAGCATCATCATCAGCGGCAGCAGCATCATCATCACCACCGCCAGCATTATCATCATCATCAGCAGCAGCACCACTATCACCATCATCATCATCATCATCATCATTATCATCATCATCATCGTCATTATCATCATCATCACCAGCATCAGCATCATCATCAGCAGCATCATCATCGGAATCAGCATCATCACCAGCATCATCAGCATCATCAGCATAAGCAGCAGCATCATCATCACCAGCATCATCATCAGCAAAATTACCATCACCAGCATCATCATCATCAGCAGCAGCATCACAATCATCATCATCACCAGGATCATCATCATCATCATCAGCAGCATCATCATCAACACCAGCATCATCATCATCATCAACAGCATCATCATCACCACCAGCATCACCATCATCATCATCATCACCACCACCACCAACAGCATCATCAACATCAGCATCAGCACCATCATCATCGTCATCACCAGCATTATCATCATCAGCATCATCATCACCACCAGCATCATCATCATCATCATCATCATCAGCATCATCATCATCATCATTTGCAGCATCGTCACCATAATCATAATCATCATCAGAAGTATCATAATCATCACCAGCATCATCATCAGCAGTAGCATCGTCATCACCATCACCATCATCATCAACACCAGCATCATCATCATCAGCAGCACCGTCACCATGAACAATCATCATCATCACCAGCATCATCATTATCACCAGCATCATCAGCAGCAGCATCAGTATCATCAACATCAGCATCAACAGCAACACCAGCATCATCATCATCAGCAGCAGCATCATCATCACCAGCATCATCATCATCATCATCATAATCATCATCATCATCATCACCAGCATCATCATCACCAGCATCATCATCATCATCAGCATCAGCATCATCAGCAGCATCATCACCAGCATCATCATCATCAGCACCATCATCATCATCACCAGCAGCATCATCATCAGCGGCAGCAGCATCATCATCACCACCGCCAGCATTATCATCATCATCAGCAGCAGCACCACTATCACCATCATCATCATCATCATTATCATCATCATCATCGTCATTATCATCATCATCACCAGCATCAGCATCATCATCATCGTCATTATCATCGGAATCAGCATCATCGCCAGCATCATCAGCATCATCAGCATAAGCAGCAGCATCATCATCACCAGCATCATCATCAGCAAAATTACCATCACCAGCATCATCATCATCAGCAGCAGCATCACAATCATCATCATCACCAGGATCATCATCATCATCATCAGCAGCATCATCATCATCAACACCAGCATCATCATCATCAACAGCATCATCATCACCACCAGCATCACCATCATCATCATCATCACCACCACCACCAACAGCATCATCAACATCAGCATCAGCACCATCATCATCATCATCAACATCACATCAGCATCACCACAGCACCACCACAGCACCATCACCATCAGCATCAGCATCAGCACCAGCATCACCATCAACACCATCAACAGCAGCATCATCATCATCGGCATCAGTATCAACACCAGCACCATCATCATCATGACAAGCATCATCATCATCATCATCACCAGCATCATCATCAGCAGCATCGTCATCATCCTCACCATCACCATAACCGCATCATAACCAGCAGCATCATCATCAGCAGCATCATCATCGTCATCAACCTCATCATCACCAGCATCCTCATCATCCGCAGAAGCATCATCATCTTCAGCATTATCAGTATCAACAACATCATCATCATCGTCATCATCATGAGCAGCAGCAGCATCATTCTCATTATTACCAGTATCATCATTATCCTCATCAGCAGCATCATCAGCAGCATCATCATCATCAGCACCATCATCATCATCATCACCATCACCACCAGCATCATCATCACCAGCATCATCATCAGCAGCAGCATCATCATCGTCATCATCATCACCCGCATCATCATCATCATCATCATCATCATCATCATCATCATCATCATCATCACCAGTATCATCATCACCAGCATCATCATCATCAGCAGGTGCATCATCATCATCGCCAGCATCAGCAGCATCATCATCAGCAAACTCATCATCTCCAGCATCAGCATCAGCAGCATCATCAGCATCTCCAGCATCATCTTCATCAGCAGCATTTGCATCATCACCATGACCAGTATCATGATCAGCAGCAGCATCATCATCATCAGCATCATCATCATCCCAAGCAACATCATCATAAGCAGCATCATCATCATCAGCAGCATCATCATCATCACCAGCATCAGCATCACCATCACCACCATTATCCTCACCGTCATCAGCAGCATCATCATCACCATGATCACCAGCATCATCATCATCAGCAGCATCATCGTTATCACCAGCATCATTATCATCCACATCAGCATCATCATCATCAGCAGCAGCAGCATCAGCATCATCAATATCATCAGCATCATCGTCATCACCAGCATCATCATCAGCATCATCATCACCAGCATCATCCTCATCATCATCAGCAGCGGTATCATCATCATCACCAACATCATCAGCATCATCATACGCTTTATCATAAGCAGCAGCAGCAGCATCATCAGCATCATCATCATCACCACCACCACCACCACCACCATCATCATCATCATCATCATCATCATCATCATCATCATCATCATCATCTATATCGGCATAATATTCAGCATCATCATCCTCATCAGAGGCAGCAGCAGCAGCATGATCAGCATCATCATGACCATGATCATCGTCATCATCAGCAGCAACATCATCATGATCATCACCATCAGCGACAGCATGATCATATCCATCATAATAATGATCAGCATAGTTATCATCATCAACATCAGCATAATCATCATCATCACCATCATCAGCATCATCAGCAGCATCTTCTTCCCCTTCAGCATCATCATCATCATCAGTATCAGCACCATCAGCATCACCATCATCAGCATCAGCATCATTCCCACAAGCATCACAACAGTCATCATCCTCATCATCAGCCTCATCGTCATCCTCATCGTCGTCATCACCATCATAATCAGCAGCAGCAGCAGCCTGATCAGCATGATCATCAGCAGGGTAATCATCATCATGATCATCGTCATCGTCATCACCCTCGTCAGCATCATCATCAGCATCAACATCATCATCATCATCATCATCAACATCATTAGCAGCATCAGCATTGTCATCTTCATCAGAATCATCATGATGATGATCATCAGCAGCATCATCATCACCATTATCAGCATCACCTTCAGCATCATCACCACCACCGCAAGCATCACAATCATCATCATCATCACCATCAGCATCATTCATATCCTCATCCTCATCTTTGTCATCACCATCATCATCATTACCATGACCACCACGACAAGCATCACTATCATCGTCCACGTCATCGTTATCACCATTGTCACAACCACCACAGTCATCAGTCATCAGCATGATCATCATCAGCATCGGCATGATGATCATCAACATCATTTTCTTCGTCCTCGTCATCATCAGCATCAGCAGCAGCATCATCGTCATCATCATCAGCATAATCATCAGCATTACCATTACCATTACCATCATTACCACCATCATCATCTTAATCATCATCCTCGTTCTCGTCATCATCATCATCATCATCATCATCATCATCATCATCATCATCATCATCAGCATCATCATGCGTTTTCCCCTGCTCACAGCAGGAGCAGGGGCCCGCACAGTGCCCCGACCAGGAGGCCCTCCGCCGCGCCCATCCGACACCTCCGGAGACCTGGCCGGGAGCGGTGTCTCCCTGTGGCCGTGCTCGTGGCCTCGCTGTCCGGCTGGACGGGTCGTCGGAAACTCCACGGGCCTCTGTGCCCAACAGAGACCCACGCTCAAGACGCGAGAGGGCAGCGTCCCTGCGCGCTGCACAGGGCGCACGGGCCTCCATTCGGCGCCAAGTGGCGCTAACGGCCCTCGGCGGATGACACCGAGATCAGGCCCAAGCATGCCATGCTGAGCCACATGCGTGGCATTCAACGGCTAGGCTCGTCTCCCGTGAACTAAACGAGCTGCGCCTTGTGAGTATGTGAAGCGTGTCGGAAGCCGTGTGCTCAGAACGACCGCCGGCATCCACTTGCGCCTGTAGTCCGGAGCATCTCACCACTAGCTTCGCCTGCCCAACGCGATCTGGCACATCTCCGAGAATGCCGAATGCAATAAGCCAAGACTTGCCAAGACATTGTAGGCGCAGTAAGCCAATTCGTTGATGCCCACAACGATCACCACATGAGCACTGGTCACAGAACAAGTCGCTAAAACATGTCTATGGGTTTGCCCAGCAGCGCTTTAAGAGCATGCCGCTATGATTCAGCGGAGTGGGTCGCGAATCGCACTACTGTCGCAAGTGCTCACTGGCAGATGTCAATTACACAATGTGGCCACTCCCCGCCTCTTGGACATGGAACGGGCGAAATAGAAGCTGCAGGCGCGGCGACCGTGAGCACTTGTTCAAAATCGTTGCTCCCAGGAGAAATGTAAAGAAAAAGGTGGACGAGGAGGGCGATCAGGAGGACGAGGAAGATGATAACGAGAAGGAGAAGGACGACGCGGGTCACCACGAGGAGGACCATGAGGAGCAGGACGAGGAGAAGGACGGAAGGACGAGAAGAAGCATGAGGAAGACGATGAAGAGAAGGAGGACGACGGCGGCAGGGGAGGAGCAGGAGGACGAGGAGGCCCAGCAGGACGAGAAGCGGGACGTGGAGGAGGACTGGGGAGGACGAGGACGACAAGGGCGAGAAGGACGAGGAGAAGGATGAGGACGACCATGAGGACGACGACGACGCCGCCGCCGGCGGTGGCGGCTGGCTGGCGGCGCTCCGGATGGCCCCGAGGTCGTAGAACTCGTCCGGGCACACGCACGCGAGGTCCTGCACGGCGAGAGGCAGGGGTGGGGCATCTTGCCCGCCCCTTCCCCCTCGGAGAGGGGGCGTATCAACATCAAACATGCCTGATCTAGGCGCAAAGTGAAAAGGAGAACGCGAGCGCAGACGCGAAGCCATCAAGAATAAGAAAAACAAGAGTAAAACAGGTGCAGTGAGTCATAAGTGGAGATCCGGGATCGAGGCTGGAGGCCGTCGGGCCTCTCCTGCGACTCCCGGGCACGCCGGGCCCTCCCTGCCCCATCCAAAGCACGACGGAGGGTCGAGGATGCAGGTCTCCTCGCTCCGACCCCGAAAACACAAGGAAGCTCCCCAGAAATCAAGATGGCCCAATTACACCCTGCGAAATGCTTAAGAAATCATGGGTTAAGAAACTCAGAGTCTCAGAATCTGAGAAAAAAAAACCCAGAACTTCGATTGAAATCTTAGGATTCACATTGAAAAAATAAGAATAATCAAGACTCTGGCCGAAAACACAAGTTTTCTTAAGCATCGCCTAGGGTGTAGACGTAAAAGAACCAATATTCCATCAGCCCCTTCAAGCAATTGATCCCCGTTATCATCGCAATTCTATTCATCGTCTGAAACATCAGCGGCATCGGTGTCATCAGCATCATAATGTCCGCGGTCGTCAACAGTGGCATCATGAGCAGCAGCAGCATCAGTAGCATTTGTCATGATCGTGGTCGTCATTACCACCGCAACTATCATAATCATCAGCAGCATCATCAGCAGCAGCATCAGCATCAGCATCAGCATCAGCATCATCAGTATCAGCATCATTATCATGATCATCATCATCAGCAGCAGCATCATGAAAAGCATCGTCATCAACATCATAATCATAATCATAATCGTCGGAAGTACCATCATCAGAAATCGTTATCAGCATCATCAGCATCATCATCCCAATCATCATCAACACCAGCAGCATCCTCCTCATGATCGTCGTCCTTATCAGCATCAGCATCATCATCATTCTCAGCATCATCATCAGCATCATCAGCATTATCATCATCATCATCATCATCATCATCATCATCATCATCATCATCATCATCATCCTGATCATCATCATCAGCAGCATCATCATCCTCATGACCATCAGCATCGCTAGCACCATGATCATCATCAGCAGCAGCAGCAGCATCTTCATCATCATCAGTACGATCGTCGTCATCATGATAATCATCATCATCATCATCATCATCATCATCATCATCATCATCATCAGCATCATCAGTATCATCATCACCGCAATCATCATAATCAGCATCGTCAACATCATCAGCAGCAGCAGCAGCAGCATCAGCGTTCTCATCAGCAGCAGCATCATTACCATCACCCCCTGCCCCATTCATCCCTCGTGAGTTCCTCCTCCTTCTCCTCCTCCTCTTCCTCCTCCTCCTCCTCCCTTCTCCTCCGCTTCCACTTCATGATCATCGTTTCGCGTCTCCGTATCCGTATCTCCCGCTTCATCTGAATCACCCTCCTCTTCAACCTCATCGTCCTCCTCGTCCTCGCCCTCCTCCTCGTCCTCGTCCTCGTCCTCCTCCTCCTCCTCCTCCTCCGCCGTCTCCTCTTATCCTCCTTATCCCCCTCCTCCTCCTCCTCCTCCTCCTCCTCCTCCTCCTCCTTTTCCTCTTCCCCATCCTCCTCCTATAAGAACCTCCATTCACGCCTGCAGGGAGCGCGAAAACAAACTGAATCGTCGCCGCCTGATACTCCCCCTCTCCGTTCCTTGACGCGGTGCCAACGCCAACCAGGGCTTCATGGATGGGGGGGTGTCGTTTCACAATAAACCTCTCGCTGCAGCGCCGCGCACATTCCTTGTAACAGGTTGTAGCGGTTCACGGACGGGGTGGGTCAAAAAATGTGGCTGCCGCCTGAGCGCCGCGAACATGATTTTCACAAGCTTGCAACAGTTTTACTGAGGGGGGAAGGGGGTCAAAATGTGGCTCTCGCCTCAGCGCCGCGCACATTCGCCTCGCAACAGTTACAAGGATTTGGGGCGACCCGTTCAAAGTGAGGTTATCGCTTCAGGCCTCGGCGACAGTGAGAACCAGAAACTTGAACAGATGCAACAGCTGAACGGGTGAAGGGCGGCTCCATTTCAAGAGTGGGCGGTTGCTTGAGACAGGCGCAACAGCTGCACGGATGAAAGGCGGTTAGACGTCCTCGACACTCGTGACCACAAGTTAACACTTGTGCATGAGTTGCACCGATGGGGCGGCCCTTTTTTTCAAAACCGGGACCTCGCTGGACACACCTTTGACCTGTATGATCATAGTATTGCACGTTCCGCATTACTCGCTGAAGAGATGCATGGCGACTCGTTCCTTTTTCAAAGAGGGACTCGCACCTGACAAGCCGACCCAAATTATGCTGGTCGCTCAACGGGGCACTTCTTGAAGTGGAGACTCATGGGGAGGGAACTTGGGGCGTGAGGGTGAATGGCAGCATCGTTGGTGTATCGCGGGTTCACTCTGTTCCTCCTCCTCCTCCTCCTCACTCCTCCTCCTCCTCCCCCTTCTTCTTCTTCTGACCCTGCTCATCCTCATCCTAGTCCGCCTCGCCCTCCTCCTGACCCTACTCCATCCCTTCCTCCTGATGACTCTTGTCCTCCATCCTGTTCTTATCGTTCCTCCACCTCCTTCTCCTCCTTCGCCTCCTCCTGCTCCTAAATTCCTCTTCCTTTTTTCTCGAATTGAAAAAAAAAACTGTCGCACCCCGAGGCTGGTCGAAAGGGCGGGGCGGGCGTTTCGCCTGAGACGTCCCCATCACTTATGATCCTGAAGCTTCAAATGTGAAACAGTTTCACGGATGGAGGGCGGTGCTCTTTCAAACTGTGGCTCTCGCACTAGCGCCGCGCATACTCGTTTCAAAAGATGTGGCAGGAGCTTCATGGATGAATGGCGGCTCCTTTTCAAAATGTGGCTCACGTCAGAGCTCCGCGCACATTCGTTGCAAGAACTTACAAGAGTTTCACGGGTGGGGAGCGGTTCCTTTTCAAACTATGGCCATGTGTGGCCCTCGTTTTAGCGCCGAGCACACTTGCCTTCAGAATTTGCACCAGTTTCAAGGGTTCGCATGGTAAACGTCCCAGAAATTCTGTTTTGGCACGATGTCGGGATTTCAGGGCGCAGCAATCACGTTGATTCGCGGTGTTGGAGACCCAGGAATGGTGTTCAGGCACGAGTCAGGGTCGCTAAGGCGCAACAGTAACACTGATTCGTGGCGTCGAAGCCCCAACAGTGGAGCTCTGGTACAGTTCTGGAGTTTAAAGCAGTTGTCTTCCAACGAAGCACTTCCCTCAGCAAAAATGAATGAGTGCAGGGGCCTATGAATAGGGACCTTGGAGGGAGGGTGTATTACAATATCGTTGATGAGTCTTGGGTTTACACTGGTCCTCCTCCTCCTCCTCCTCGTTATTCCCCTTCTTCCCTTCCCACCACCACCGCCTACGCTCCTCCTCCTCCTCCTTGTCGTCCTCCTCCTCCTCCTTCTCCTCCTCCCCCTCCTCCTCTTTCTTCCTCCTCCGCATCCTCCTCAATCTGCTCATCCTCCTTACTCCTTCTCTTAGTGCGATGCCGCCGTGATGAGGTGACCACGGGCACTGGCCAGCAGGTTGGCTCAAAACGAAACGACTACAAATGATGTGTTGACCGTCCACCTGCTAATTCTGGCTAACTCCTCCTCCTCCTCCTCCTCCACTCCCTCCTCCTCCTCCGCCTTCTCCGCCTCCTCACCCTCCTCCTGCTCCTCTTCCTCCACCTCCTCCGCCTCCTCCTCCTCCTCCTCCTCCTCCTCCTCCTCCTCCTCCTCCTCCTCCTCCCCCTCCTCCCCCTCCTCCTCCTCCTCCTCCTCCTCCTCCTCCTCCTCCTCCTGCTCCTCCTCCTCCTCCTCCTCCTCCTCCTCCTCCTCCTCCTCCTCCTCTGGCCCAAGTGATTTAGGCTTGCTAGCGCATACTTCAGAACGGCACACTGCGCTAGCGGGTCAAGTGGCTCGTTCAGACAGTCAGCACTCTTTCGCAGCGTCTCCCATGGGACCGAAGCAGCATGAGATCATCGGCGCGAAATGTCTCTCGTGTGGTGCTGCGAAGTGCAACAAACCGTGGTACAAATGGTGTGCGAATTGTTGGGCTCCCATTCCGCATGTTTCTCCTGGCGCTCCTCGCGACCCTGGGGGTGTGTGGCAAAGTGGTCCTGCAGTTCATGGCCCCAAAGGATTTCACAAAGGTCAAGGACCCAAAGTTGGACGTGGCAAAGGCGGGCTTGGGGGTGGCGGAGGCGGCGGCGTCGGGGGAGGACCAGGCGGTCGTGGAGGCGCTCTGGCTCATCCAGCAGATCCGTCTTCGCTCCTCGCACAGCTTCAGCTTCTCATGGGCCAGCTCAAGGACGATTTCCCAGAGCGTGCAGCGGTGGCCAGCTCCATCGCGGCATCGGCTTCAGCTATTCGTTCCCAGCAGTCAGAGGCTCGTCCCCATCGGCAGCAGGCGTCCGAGGCTCAGCAGGCTCTGGACAAGAATGTTCGTGCTCTCAACACGCTCGACTCCCAGATTGCAGACACCGAGTCGCGCCTCGCGGATCTCAAAGAGAAGAGGGCGGAGACCGCAACCCAGCAGGTGCAGCTCAAGGCCAGGTACCTGGAGCTGGCGGCCAAGGTGGCCGACCTCCCGCCCCCGCCGCAGGCGGAGCTCCAGGGGCACCTGTCCAACTTCGACAGCGTGCTGGAGTCTGGCGACCTGGCCGCCATTCGTGAGGGCTGGGCCAAACTCAAGACCAGTTGCCAATCCGTCGCCCAGAAGGAGGCTGCAGGCAGTGGAGCTGCTCCTGCTGCTTCGGACAGTGGAGGGGGGACGGGTGGCGAGGCTGGTGTGGGGACGGGTGAATCTGCTCAAGCTGATGAAGCAATGCCTCAGGTCGAGGCTGCGGATTCAGAAGCGTTCCAGAATTTTTTACATGAGTGGCAGCAGGCACAGTCGGAGG